CCTATCCCTCGTGTGCCTTGCCTCCACGACTTGTAGAATGCTCTGATGAGAACTTTAGTGTGTGTGTGTGTATGGGGGGGGGGCAATTTATGTATCTCTTGGTTATATGTAGATTAACATTAGTAGATCTAAATTGTATGAAATGAGCTGTTTTTTAAATAAAGCCCCATTTATTAATGATAAGTTACTGAAAACCTAAACTTGTACATGTGTATATTATGTTTCATGCAACTCGAACCTGATGTTCTACAGTCCTAAGAGTAAAACAAAGTTTCGACAGATACTTAGAGACATATTTGCAAACTCTGCTCGCTTTTGATCTCTAAAACTACTGTATCTCAAAAAATAATCTGATCGGTTTGTTTTTTTTCAAATTATTTATTACTGTTTTGGATGTATTTTACGTCAAATGCTGATATTTTAGTCCAGTATTAGGGTAGATGTATATTTAGGGATTCTATTTTTCAAGTATTCTCAGGTTAGTTTGATATACATATGTATGTATAATCCATCTTCTTTTTATTGTGATTTCAGTATACCCCCTTCACGGCTTCGAACGTCCCGTTCCCATGAGTCTTTGTTGCAATCTAGTCCAAATGTGCTGGCAACATTGAATCTCTCTCGTGGTGATGTTCAGGTAATGCCATTACATGGTAGTCTCTTAGGTCAGGACCACTGTTTTCAACTGATCTCTAGTGGACGTACCAGATACTACTCATGTCGCACCTCGGAAGAAAGAAATAAGTGGGTAAACAGGTAATAAGACAAAGTGGTAAAGATCGTAATGAAAGCATGCTTGAATTAATGTGTAGTTTAAAATAAAGATTGTGAATCTATTGTTTTTTTAAAAATAAACTTTCAGTTATATCACATAAAACAATATATTTTCTAATTTACTTGCCGTAAGACATTAGTATTAGACCTATTATATTTTGTTACCACTGCATTCTGTAATTAGTCCCTTAGGAATTCTCAAGAATTAGAAGAGTGTATAGTAAAAGTATTCCAACTATACTGTGCATGCTGTATGTATCCATTGCCCATGATGCATTTTGCTTAATCCAGTGATCATCAGTCTGGCTGTGGGACACAACAAACACAGTAGTGGTCGGAATACTATTCACATAAGCCATTTGATACAACAGCAGTTGTTTTGGTGTGAACAAAGCACAATTGTAATTAATGTACTTGTCATTAGGCATTAGTTTTAGGCTTATTATATTTTCAGCATTTCATTCTGAATCTAGTCTTTTAGAGATTTTCAAGAAGGCAGTGTTAAAAAATATAATAGGCCTAATATTGTAATCATAATTTGCCAGCTTCAAAAAAGCGTTCACACCATAACAGTATATTTTTAAACTGATAATAATGCTACTAATGAAAATTAATGTTTTACAAAAAATGTTAATAATTTGGAAATTGTATTATAATGTTTAATATTGAACTTAAATTTTGAGACCACTGATCATGTTGCTTATATGTGTGCAAAAACTCATTAATTGGATAACCAATATATTCATTTAATATGTAGTTTATAAATGACTCAACTGTTATTTGTGTTTCGTTTTTGTCAGCTTACGGCATTCTATTCACCCCCAACAAGACACAGTTAAGCGAAAAGAAAACTCTCTAAAGATTTGGATTCTTGAAGCCAAAGGAATCGCATCAAAGAAAAGGTAGGGTAGTTAATATACTTTTGGGGAGAAAAATATTTCACTTTTAGTTTCGTTGGAAAATAATGAATAAAGTAATTATTTCGCTTTTCAAAACAAGCATTCACTGTGCATATACATGTATGTCACAGGAGGGCCAAAATAATAAGATCTTAAAAACATGAAAGAAAAAAGTTAATGAATAAAAGTCATAATCATATCAAAAAAATATTTTCTCAGAAAATTTCATTTTATTGGGATTTTATCACCTAAGTGCATACAACATGCAATACGTATATCTTAATATGTAAACTACTCAAAATATTATTTATCACCGATTATAGATTATCTAAACATCTGGAAAAGACTTAATGTTTTTAATACAAAAACTACCCATTCTTTGTACCTTAGCCATCATTAAGTTTTATATGTTTGTATTAATAGTTGGTATAAAACTGACATGTATAAATCTGTAACATCATTTATACTACAGATTTCAATACATTAATGTTATCTTAGGATTTGTCAATAAAATATTATTCGAGCAGAAAAATAAGTTTGACTTCTTACAAATGTGAAAATTAATAATATGTAAATACTAATGTTACAGTCTAGCTTTGACTTTGTATGTCTGCATTACCCTAACTGCCTAACATGTAATATATATGCAATTAAGCTGCTGTGTTAAACAATATTGCTCTGAAATAAATAATTGTGTGACATTGAAAAAAGTTCAGAGTTTATGGACTTAATATGCTTGTTTTATAAAGCATACAGTTTTTTTAAATTTCAACCCAACAGGTACTTCTGCGAGTTATGTTTAGACAAAACTTTATATGCAAGGACAACCTCCAGACATAAAGCTGAAATTTGCTTCTGGGGAGAACATTTTGAATTCAAGTAAGGTAGACAGTGTGTCATTTGAGTTTGTTAAAATCCATCCTTAAAATGTCACTTTCATTCCTTTTTTTTTTTTTCTATATATAAGTTTAATAACATCTCAATAGAAATTATTTATTTTGATGTTAGAATAATACAATTTTATGAAAAATATGTTATCATGGTAATTTTTAAAAGCTCCCACAATAATTAAGTATGTGTTATTTTTTTTTCACATAAAATGATAATTTATAGTTTCTTATCAGTAGAGTTAGTTTAATGTTCTTCAATGTTTGAATAATTTTTTTGTATTTAGGTGATAGATTTTTTTCATATTGGTGTTTTTTTTTATATTTATCTCAGCAATTTGCCTCAGATAGGCATCATCACAGTCAACCTGTACAGAGAAGCTGACAAGAAGAAAAGACGAGATAAAAATGTGTTATTAGGTAAGGTAATAGATTCTGGTATTTCCCCATGATCAACAGTTGAAAATTCAAAGAAGTGGTAGATAGGAATTATTACTGTCCTAAAAAAAAATATAAGTAATTTGTGTGCATCTGGAAATTCGGTGTTTGTTGAAAGAGTTCAAATATTTCAACACCTGAAGATTCTTGTAAAACAGTTAAGAAACATCCACAAATATTTTGATAATAACAATAAATAAAATAGAGTTAGATCTTGCATTACAGTTTCAGTTTGACCATAAAATTACACGTTAATTTAATAATACATTTATTAGTTAGTAATTTATGTAAATTATTTCTAGTATTATTAATTACCTATGAACTGGTGCAACAAATCAAAACGTTGGATAGCAGTTTTTTATGAAATGTTATTATGTAATTATGGTCTTTGAACATTTAAATTTCAATTTTAAGACATTTTTAAAAGTTCATGCCTATCTTTAACATCTTTTCAACTGTAAATGTTATAAAAATAATTTTATCAGCAGTCCAGCTAATGCATATATTTTTATTTCATTTTTACAAAGTTTTAAATCATCACAACAATTATCTTTATGTGTGTTGGTCACCAATAAAAAAATACCATTATCTAATGTATTTTAGATGGGTTTTCCAATATTCATATTTTCTGATAATGCCTTTTTTATATAATGATATTTAATGTAATGTCAGTAGTAGTAGTAAGTAAGTCTATTTGAAATGGTTTAAAACTTCGAGTGTTAG